TGACAGTGTGTTGGCCTTTAGCGCCTATAAAACGACAGCTTACAAAGAATGCTCCTCAGGAAGTTGAGATTATTTTAGAATGCTATAATGTTTGCTTGGGTGATAACGTAGATTGTGAAGCGAACAGAGCTTGTGAATGAGCGGGAATTCAAGGGATACAAAAATTTTATACATATAATATTACTATTGAAAACATTTAAATGTCTTAGAAAGCGCAGAAAAGTCCAGCAAAGCAAGACAAACTCCTAAAGATTAGACACACGAGAGGCTGTTTGCATCAACAGGATTGGTAATTAAAGGTAAATCATCATCATCAAGTGCAATATCTGCGGCAGACATCGGCGATCATGGTTCTCCGTTTATTCCTTTGCTTGGATGCTCTTAAAAAAAGCTACGTTTCCCTGATCTTTCCCTGTAATCTATCTGTTTAGGTTCTCCAAGTAGGTTCCTCTGGGCCTACCCCTGCCTCGTTTGCCTTCAATGTTGCAAGTCATAGCTAGATGTTCAAGACCCTTATGTCTATTCAGGTGTCCCCAAAACTGCATTAGTCTTTTCCTGATTGTTTTTATCAGTGGGTGTCCCACGTTGGCTTCATCAAGCAGTTCCTCAATTTGATTTCTTTTCCTTCCAAGATATAAAGGCAAATAAATAATGATAATGATGACGTGAGCTCAGATCGATGAACGAACAAGCGGTGTGTTTGTCATGACCCCTGTGGGTCGACTTGATAATTTACTGACAAACAAGTTAGAACACCCTTCTGTAGGATGCCAACTGTCGTCTCATGATAAGCTGCTCAAGAGAAAAAAATCGGTATTGTATTTTGAAACTGACAAACTAAGGCACAAATTACCCCTTTTAACTGAAGATCGATATTGTAACTACTATGACTGTGACATTTAGATCTTTCTAATTCTGTGACAAATGTTTCCTCAAATGATTAAAATAATGGTTATAATAGACTTCATCTCTGTTTCTTTGCATAAATTTACAAATCCAACAACTCAAGTCTTATTAAACATATTTGAATAAAAATTTATAGATTTAATAGATATTATTAGAACAATTATCAACACGTTCTTGTTCTACAATTGTAGTGTTGTAATTGTCATCTTCAACAAAAATAGCTGTCATAATGGTAAAGTAGATTGCAGGAACACAAAGACAGAACGATGTAAAATATTCATTCTTTATGTCTTGGAGAGAGCTTCGGTTTCCTTTGTACTGAGTGTATAAATCAAGGTCTGTGCCTGAAATAGGGGAGGAGCCTAGCGCTAAAGTAACTGTGGTGTCGATGTCCCACACGTCTCTCCCACCCAGAATGTCGATTTCACATTTGTTGGGAAACAACTCAACTTACTCTCTCAAAGAGAGCGTGAACTTGCCAATAACCACGCCATCAACCTGGGTACAATATGCACAAATCGTAAGCGACGAGCAGTGGTACATTTTCCAAGTGGTCAACGCGGTGGTCATCGCTGGTCTTCTCAGTCTGTTCGGCGTGGCCTCCAACATCATCAACATTGTGGTGTTTGCCAAGCAAGGCTTTCAGGACAGCATGAACATCAGCCTCATGGGTGAGATGGCAATTATCATATCTATAGTTTCTTACAACTAATGTGTCTTTACAACAGTCTTGTAATAGAACATAACTCATGTAAGTGTTGGGAAATAATAGACATAAGATTAAATAAATATAGCACACAGCACATTTACATTCTGTCGTAAAGCTGCTCTCCTACTCAAAGCCTAGAAATCATTTTCTATTTATTCAGAGGAGAGGGAAAAATAGTGCCCTTTTTTGAAATTGCACCCTCATTGTGTATCCTTTTTTGGCTTTTTAAAGATTTACAATTTGAATTTCAATAAAGTATTTCTCAAGAACATGCGCCGATGAATAACAAAATGCAATTTAAAAAAAAGATTCAAAATTGTTGGGCTTGGTAATCTGAATCACTATTGGAAATACCTTCCTCTCTCATGTACTCTACACTAGTGAATACTAAACTGTTTGTTTTGTTTTTATTTGTGTTTTTACCAAGGACTACTATA